GGTACGAGCGCTACGACTCAATTTCCAAAACTTAAAAGTGCTTTTTCCCAGAGGATCAGAAAAATAACAACACTAAAGTAAAACACGGGGCAATATTTAACGGCTGTTACACAGCACCTGCAATCGTGATGTATAAATATTTGGAAAAAGTGATATCTCGGAAGCATTAAAAACAACAAAATAACAAAAAAAATCAAACTCGATTTTGATTAAGTCTTTTCTTGGGGGAATTCTCAACACTTAAAAGTGCTGGAATTAATGCTAAGAAGTCAATGATTGCTGTATAAAACGACCGATAGGAATGAAAGTCACTGGTTTTCAAAAGAAAGTCACTGGTTGCAATGGAAAGTCATTGTTTGCTATGAAATTCACTCTTTGTTATGAAACGTAAGTAGATACTTCGGAAGTTAATGGTTCCTATGTAATGTCAATTGTTTCGATATTGATCATTGGTTGCCCTGGAATGTCAAGGGTTGCCATCGAAAGGTAATGGTTGCTTGTGGCTATGGAAAGTCAATAATTGCTGTCAGTTTCAGTTGGGTGCTAATATAGTCTATGGTTGCTATAAATATATAACTGATATGGAAAGTCAACAGTTGCTATTACATCACTGGTTGGTATTAAAAGTATATAAGGACAATCTATGTCTTCAGGGGTTTGGCAAATTCGGACTCCAGGGGCCCGTTTTACTTACTCACTTAGATTCGCGTAAGTTTTAACGTACCTTCGATTTTTTAAGTAAAGGCGTTTTACTAAAAGATGCGTACTTGAAAATTTCGTAACTTGTAAAATTAAGTTAAGCTTAAAATTTGTTTGCTTAAAACTTACATAATTAAGACTCATTTGTAAAACATAAAAAGAGCAGGAAAGCGGAAATTCTAGAGACCGATCTGGCTGCTTATATATTGTTATCGTGGAAGCACCTCTAGTTAAGATTAAGGTATTAGCCCTCTAAGGGCTATTTAAGGTACTATAATATTTTCAAGATATTAAATAATAATGTATGCAAAATCTAAACAACGTTTACCGTATGGTTAACGAGTTTTGGAGATTTTTCATATCTAAAACTTAGCTATAAGAAGGGTTCGTTTTCAGAAAGGAGAATCTATTATATAATCAATACATATGATTTCCAATTGAACATTGTTAAGAAACAAATATTAGCATTCAGCTAACAAATGACACAAGCAAAATTATTGTATCTAATCTAAAATGTATAAAAGCCCTACTCTACCCATCTTAAATAGTTGTTTTACCATTTTACTACTTAGAGGGCCTAATTCAAAATATTCTTAAAATTTGAAAATAACAGGTACCATATTTGATGAAATTTGACATAATTTAGCAAATAAATACCAAAACTAATTATATAATTTAAATATAACACTTCTCTTTTCATGAGTGATCCGAGCAACACATCAATAATGTTGAAAGAAAATAAGAAAGAAACAAAAGTTGCCTCCCCTGGGGTTTGATCCTCAGTTCCTTAGTTTCAATACAATTCACAGTAGTTCTAGCCTATTTTCAATACTCTTCAAAGTGAAAATAATTTATAAACCTACGATGGTAATTGATAATATGGCTTTACGGGCTTATTAAAAGTGACGTTAAATAGCATAAAAACTTGAGAAACATTTTTTACATGTAGTAAGTTTATACCTAGCCGCTGAACGTTTTGTGTTATCTAATTTTTTCTCGAGTTTTTCGCATGTATTTTTCGGAACTCGTTTAATATCACACCCTTTTTTTACTTGATAGACATAGAGTAAACAAATACACAATAAAAAATATAAAAAAAATAAATTTAAAGAATGTGTTACGCTAATAAGCTAAATATTTCATATAAAGGTGAGAAAAAATCCATTTCACTTGCGGACATGTTAAAAGTTTTCTTACTACTCAAAACAAACAAATACCTTCTTAAGTTGTTCACCATAAAACAGCCATGATGAACTATATTGGTTTCTCCTTACTTCTCTATGAATACATTTATTAAAAATCGAGAGAAAACCTTTTAGTGATATGGGTGGCCGTTAATACAATATGCGCTTAAAAACGAATTGCTCTTCAACATTTCTGAGTGTCTGTAGATGAACTCATGACATTCCTGTTTGGCCTTTTTTAAATGTTTTTGAGGCCACAGATATACCCATAGCGCCTCTTTTTTAAATAATTCTTAAATCAGTAAACTATTTTAACGTAAGTTTAAGAAAAACTTTTCGTGATTTTTTTTAAAGTTTAAACGTAAGGTTGAAGTTACAGGAATACTTATGAAAAACGAATTGTTAGTAAAACGGGCCCCAGGGCAGCGTTTTACTAACATTGCGTCAGTTTTTCCTGAAGAAATATCGTAACTTTACGCTTACGTTTAAACTTACGTAAATCATAAGTGTGTTCTTAAAGAGGTTTTAAGAGTTAGTCAATAAGGAAGCGTTTTGGTAATATTCAATGAACCGCACATGATCCATCATGGAAGATATGTAAAGGGTTTTTTGTTTGTTTGAGAAAAGAAAGAACTGTCATGTCCGCAAGTAATATTTGCAATCATGTTATAAGTTTCAGTTATAGTAGATTGTTAATACTAAATTTATTGCACGAGTGGAATACAATCATATTATGCGGACCTCTTGCGAGCAAAATATTGTTTTATTCAACGAGTTCAATAAATTTAGTATTGCATTTACACGAAATACAATGTTCTACTTATCACATACATATAATTTGAACAGTAAACTGTTAAAATGAGTATTTTTCCAATAACGCGCCCATAGTGTAACGCTAAAATTAGCGCGCTGTATCGCTATGTTTCCATATAGCGCCAATGTCGTCACATCAAAGTGTTATTACACTAGTGTAATATCGTTTTCATTAAATGGCTTTATTACACTCATGCTCCGCGATTTATGTGATAAAATATTTTATGTTATTTATAAAATTCATCATAAATTTAGTATGTTGAAATAACATAAAACACATAATAACTGATTTAAATACTTTGGGTGGAGGTCAACCACGACTAAAGGCGGTATGGGGTACCGGCATATTTTTTGGAAAGAAGATAATAGTTAAAAGCTGATAGGATGACTTCCATATTCGTATATGTTTTTCTTTTACTAAATTTAATTTTCAACCAGTCTGAAAGCAACAAGTCCAAAAAGCCAAATTATCCATTCCTTACTTGGACCTAATGATATATTACCAGTCACATCCGTCTCTAGAATTCTCGCTTTCCTTTATTCATAGATGATGATAGTCTTATATACGTAAGTTTTAAGTCAACACATTTGAGGCGTAACTTTACGAAAAAATTTACGAAATCCTAACTTATGCAAGTTATAAATAAAACGCCTTTAGGTGAAAAAAATGTTACGTAAGTTAAAACTTACGCAAATCTAAAGCGTAAGTACGTTAGTAAAACGCTAATCGGGACTATGATTTGAAAAAAATGTCCACCAGATTATGTTTCATTTTCAATACCGTACGATATAGCGCCTACATTTTTTAATAAGTCGATGTATAGAGCGCAGGTTTAATCTTCCTCAGGTCAAGGTCAAGGTCATTATCAATTATCAATATCAAAATGTTGTGTAAATACGTTGTAAATAATGCATATAAAATGCCAAATTTGCAAGGCAATTTATCAATTTATTAATGTATGTAAGTATGTACTACCAGTTGTTGATTTACAATGCTGCTTCGGTTTTTTGCCATATTGTGGGCAGTCTTTAACTGAAAGGCTTATATGGGTTGAAAGGCTGGTATAAAGTGGATATACCTGTTTAATTAAATGTTGAAACTAACTATATATTTTATGAAGAGATAAACTAAAATCCTGCAGAAAGTTAAGCCCATGACCACTAGTGTATTTTTGAATTGTTTACTTTTAAAAGCTTTGAATAAGGTCATATGCCAATGAGGCATTATATATTTGTTAAAGCTTGGATATTTTGCATTAAGCATGCTTTGTTGACACCTACAAAATATATATAAATCATGCTCATGGGGTCACATAGTAGTAACACTGATAGATAAACATACTTTCATGAATGCATTCTTATCTAAAGTTCCAATGCATCCAAGTTCTTAGTAATCTGGCATGTATAATAACATGGAACGCCAGTATTGGTTTATATTAACGTTTGTGTTTGATAGTTAATTTAGCACTGCTATACCGATATGTGTAATTTGGTATTGCTGAACCTTTTACTTGCAGGGTCGTCCCCCTTGTTTTTCGCTTCGCCATATTGTTGGTCATTAAAAGTTCAATTTAGAATAACGTTGTTTGTTGGAGTTTCCTTCCCTACTGGCGGAAGAACGCTGCAATGTATTGGTTGGCGGGTCTCACACAGTTACATCTAATCAGATTTATATAGTATATATGTTTGAAATTCTTTTTCTCCAACCTACAACATGTAAGACATAAATTTTAAGCATGTATCTAACATTTGCAAAAGTAGAATTATTTGATTTTTACAAATAATGAACATAAGATTAATGTTTGTGTGAGTATTGATATTATAAATGTAAAGGGAGGTAATAAAAAAGAGAAAAGCTGTCTAAGAGCATGTTGGGTGACATGTTTGAGAGTTTGTACTCCACAACAAATGTTGTGGCATATGTTATTGTCATTAAGTACTCATGTGACAGATGTGTAGCTCTTTGGCATATATCAATATAGATCTTAATATTTGAAATTGACATAAAACATGCTGTGGAAAAACGTAAAAATCGTCTCTGTTTAAAAACTTTCAATGGTCACATTTGCTATCGGGCGTATATTTCCCCGCCTATACCCTGCTCTTGTTCTTTCTTTCGTTCTGTCTGTCTTTATTATTTATTTCTTTATCTCATTACTTGAGTTTTTCGTTTTAACATTTTTTATTTAGTGATTTATTTATTTTGAAATCAAGATCACGTTCGTAACACAAGACGGAGATGTTATAAAAAAGAGATAACAATAACATTGACATTGATAACGGTTGAAAACATTGCTTTTGCAGGTTGAGAGGACGATTGTTGTGCATATGGTTTGGTTTAGTAACATGTACGATCATCATATATCTGAGAAACAACGTAGGGTATACAACCGAAAAATCAGTATTGAATGAACACTCTCCTACCGAAATTTCTATGTAAGGTCCAGATCTTTCTCAATTGAATAACTAAAAAAGCACCACATACACTGACGAAATTCGAATTTAATCAATATTTTACTGATATAATTTACAATCGTGTAATCAGTTAAGTAAATTTTTAGAGAATAAAAAGGTATTTGTGAACGAAAAATTTATTTAAATTAATCGGATAAGGATTATAAGTTACGATTAATCCAAGTTGTTTAATATGAACAGGTATTTGATACCTTTCCGAAATAATTAAACTGAGTTTATATGCTTTTCTATTTCTTTTATATATTGCCTTTATCTGTATATAAATTACCCTGTTATGTTTTAATAATAAATTACCTAAAAAACATTTCTTTCTGTTGTCAGATTAAAAAGTAATGATTCATTTAAAAAGACATTGCAAATATACCAAACGAGTAAGAAATGTAACGACGCTATGTTAGCTGCTGATCCCTTGCGCTCCACTATATATATGATAGGTAATATAGATTCAATAGCAATTTAAGCAATGCTAATTACAATTTGTCTTAACTTAAATATATTCATTTTCTTTTATGGGATTTCATGAAAATTATAACTAGACTGTCTATGTTAAATGCGTTTGAAAACTTAATAATCGTTTAAATTAAGATGTAACAAAGATATTTGTGATTTTAATCAGGAAGAAGTTCAGTTTTTCTCGGAGACTATATTGACTTTAATGTTATACTGTACAATGGATATGATAAACCTAAGAATACTGGAGGAGATCATTTACGAGCACGTTTATACAACGACTTACTTGGTGCATATACTCCTGCAACAATTTTTGATCATAATAATGGCACTTATACCGTAACTGTACAAGCGTTGTGGATAGGACGGGCTCAGTTAGAAGTAGAAGTTTTATATACAAAAGAAACCATCATTACTGCTATTCGTTTAAGGAGAACATGGGTATGAATACTTTGATTTAATTACTAAGCACATAATAATCAATTTTGAAAACTAATTATTACTTATTTGCATTTGTTATTCTATTAAATTGATTGAATACAGCTAGAGGTGTATACACTTACAACACATAGGTGAAGTCTCTTAAATATGATCTGAAGGACAATTAAGAGGATCATTGATGCCAGCACTATAAGTTGTTGAGAATTGAATACCGCTCAATTGAGAACCGCTCCAGCCGGGGCTATGGGGCGTGATGGATGCTTCACTTATTCAGTATCTCTCATGTACAGACTCAATCAAACCGAGTCTGCCATTTTCATGTAGTTTTGTTGTGATTTATGCTTCCGAGGGATCACATTGTTTAGGTAATAATTTTTTTTTAAATAACTCATTTTCTTGCAGAATTCATTTATATGTCAACAAACAGGAATTTGTCGTGTAAATGGGTTCATGAATAGCTTTTTATTGTTTCACATGTTCTTCAATATTTTCTAGACCGCCTCCGTGGTCGAGGGGTTAGAGTCGATGACTTCTAATCCAGCTACTTCTCTGGCGTGGGTTCGATCCCCGAGGGATGCTTTGGTAGTTTAGCGCGGAGGAAGGTAGTCTAGTACTGGTGTAACTCTCCAGGAACGATGGTTAGAAACTTCCCGCCTGTTTGACTGAAATAGTGTTGGAAAAATAAAAAAAACAAACAAACAAAATTAAATTATCTCCCGTTTAATTAATATAGTATTATTTACCAGCAGTATATACTAACACGAAAAGGACTTTTTGTACATTACATGTCATTGAGTTATTTACATTATACATTTATAAACTGTATTTAAAATTTTAAGAATGTCCTTTATGTAATTGATCGAAAAAAAATTCAATTTCGTCCGTTTCAGCTAATGTATTACTATTCTTTTTTTTGCAAATGATTACTTAGATTTAGCTATTGATAATATTTGCTTAATGAAATGTGTTTAAAGTTTTGTTTTTGATGACTGTTGTATTTTTAGTATATTTTAAATTGCTTTATATATTGAAATGTTTCTTTATTAGGCTTACAATTATTTTTCAGAAGTGTTTCACTTAAAAAAACGTTTTTTTTTATTGATTCCTGTTTTCAAATCTAATTAAAGGATACGCCTAGATTTTAAAGAAATCTTTAATCTTCTAATGTATTTATTGTTTGTTTTTTTTCCATCAGGAAATACTTTTGCATATTCTAGTAGCTAAGTAAAATGGTGAACTTGTTTACTTAAAATGTCCAAAAAAAGTAATGTTTTTCACTTAATTCTTTTATAAAGTTGATTTCATGATGCAAAAAATATATAGTGTAAACTTGTTAAGAGCATCCTACGTTATTTAACAGTAATCCAGATACCTTTGCCGGTTATATTTGAAATTTTACGCGTTTCGATAGTAAAGCGTCAAATGTTTGTCTTTGCGTATTGCTTTCTATACAGTGATTTGTCATGTTTTTCTCGTGCTTAAGTCTCAATGAACGGTTAATGTAAAATGTGTACTGGTCATTCTACCAGACGTTTTGGAGCAGTTAACATATTCAATTTCATATTGTATCCGACCACGTGTTAAACGGGCAGCCATGTCGGAATAAAATGCACTTCTTTCGCGAATGGAAGAGCGTATCAGTTTCAGAAATTTGAGGAACGCATAAATTCTACTCAGCGTGAGTTGTCGCAAGCACAAATTTCTGCTATCCAGGAGAATTTGGTTTCCGATGGTTATACGTTTAAGAAAAAGGGACAGGAGCAGCAGTTTAAAGTATATGCTAAAGTGCTTGATAAAATGCAACAAGCAGACGGCTACTTCCAAGAGGCTGTCAAGGATTCTTCGAATGACGCTGCAGAAAGTGCACGACAAAAGCAAATCGAAGGTATGAACATTTTGAATTATCGACAATAATACATTGAACTTGCTGATTCTTCTGAACACGGGTGGAAGGTGGTACAAGAGTATGAATCTCATCCGTTAGCATACGACGACGAAGATGAGAAGAAAATTGCACGTGCGCAAATACAGGCAGACAGAAAAGTCAGGCAGGAGCGTCGTCTTCGAGCGGCACGTTTTGGTTCTTCTCTGTTTTATGGTATGAACCAGTCTTCTTATTCGAAAATTTAGAGCAGCAGCAGGGCAGACAAACATGGACGACCTCGAGGAAACCCGGTTCCTGCTTCAAGTGTGGAAGACCTGGTCACTGGCGTGCTGATTGTAGAGTACGTGGGATGGTTGAGGGCACTCAAACTGAGAAATCTGATCAGATAAGTAAAATTTTATTTTGCGGAATTAATTAAAATACTGAAAATAGAAAAAAAGCTTGAGAAATTGAATAAACCCTATTTGTCTAGGTATGAAAATTATAATCCCGGTCTAGAAATATCACCGGAAGTAGTCACTCCGGTAGGTAGGTTAAGGGGAAATTGAAAGCATTGGAAGGAGCCATGTTCTAATGAATATATTATTGATGTTATAGACAAATGCTATAAACTGCATTTTATGAATTTTCCTGCTACTACTGAAATTAAGAATAATAGTTTTGTTTTAGGGAATTCTACCTTTGTTTCTGCAGAAATCCAAAATTTGGTAGCTAACGGGTGTGTTTCTGAAGTACTGTCGGTTCCGTTAGTTGTTAACCCGTTGACTGTAGCTTTTAATCGTTAAGGTAACGCCAGACTGGTTCTTGATTGCAGACATGTAAATCCGGTTTTATTTAAATCACAAAGTCGGTACGAAGATCCGTCTGTTGCTAGGCAACTTTTTCATAAAGGTGATTAGGTGTTTTCGTTTGTAATTAAAAGTGCATTCCACTATATAATGATCGATTGGTTACATAGGACATATTTAGGTTTTAATTGGACACAAAATGGTCACAAAAAGTATTATGTGTTCAACGTTTTGCCTTTGGGATATCCACAGCAGGATATATTTTTACAAACATTTTGAGGGTTCTTGTAGAAAAATGGCCTATCTTGGGTTTAATAGTCGTATTATTTTAGATGACGGCCTTGTTGGCAATCACACTTTCGCTGAAGCTATGAGAGATAGTTCTTTCATTAGACAAGACTTGATAGATTTTGGGTTCTTGATAGCGGATGAAAAATGCAACTGGCAACCTTGTTTATTGTTTAACATGGCAAGGTTACTTCTGGGACATTGAACAGGGACTTTTGAGAGTAACGGAGGATAGATTAGAGAACTTTTAAGCTTAAAGAACAACTTGTTTTGAAAGTTAGTATAGGATAAGTTTTCATTCCAGTCTGTATGTTGGCATGTTTAACAGGCCAGTTATTGTCTATGCAATGTGTATAAGGTCCATTCGTCCGTTTAAGGTCAAGGTCTTTTTTTCAGTGTATACAGTCAAAGACAAGTTGGAACGCACCTGTTAAGGTTTCGTCCAAGGTTTTATCGGAATTGATTTTTTGGAAGGAAAATTTGTGGTCACTGTACATGTGTAGTTTTGGTTTTGGACAGTTGGAGAGCGTTGATAACGCAAGCGTCTCCGTTGACGTCACTGATGTAAAAAAACGTCTTTGTTGACGCCCTTGGATCTGGATTTGGTAGTTATGTTGATGGAATTGGCGATAGTCAATTGTTTGGCACTAGGTCCGAATATGAGCAGATTTTAAGCTCCACGTGGCGAGTGCTAGAGCCTGTACGGAGGTCTATTTATTCTTCTTTGCACTATCTGCAGGAAAATAAAGTTTTAATAAATTCTGACAACAGAAATGTATTTTCAATTTTGAAAGTTGGCAGTAAAAAGCCTTATTTGAATGATATTCCTGTGCAAATTTATGATGTTTGCAGAAAGCATGACATATAATTGTTTCCTCACTGGATTCCAAGGGAAGATAACTCGGAGGCTGATTTTCTCAGCAGGTGTTTGACAGTGACGACTGGTCAGTTACAGACTGGGTGTTCGATTTACTTGTGTCAAAATGGGGTCCTCATTCTTATGATCGTTTCGCTTACAATAATAATTGTAAATGTTTAAAATTCAATTCTAGATGTTGGTGTCCTGGAACAGCTGGTATCGTCGCTTTTGCACAAGCATGGGCTGGTGAAAATAATTGGCTTGTTCCGCCCCTGAGATTAGTTTTGATTACTTTGAACAAAATTAAAAAGGAAAAATGCATGTGCACTTTATTTGAACCCATTTAGCGGTCGGCACCTTATTAGTCCGTTTTGTTTCCTCATAGAAAAAATCAAACCGATTTTGTACTTGAATATCTTCTCTTTTAGCCAGGAATTTTGACAAAAAGAGTCAGAGGGAGAAACGGAATATTTGATGGTAGACCATTGAAGTTTGGTTTTATAGCTTTAAGATTTATATAAATTATTTCTTTATGCTTCTGCATTGTTGTACTTCTTATTCAGGCTTGAGTTTGAATCAGATGATAAGCGATGAGCTCACAAGGACCGGGATTGATGGCCCAATTTGAAGAATCTTGCATCTCAAATGGCTGATGAACTGTTAGACTCTAAAAGTGACACTACTGTAAATAAATGATTCTCTTATTTCATGAAATGGAAAACATTCATTACGCCTAAAGGAGGGAGTGCTTTACCTTCTTCACCAGTTTGTATAGCTTTTTATCTAACTGACTTGATGAAAAGAAGTTGTTCTAATCACGTGATTTCCTCAACTGTTTATGGAATCAAATGGGCGCATTCTTTAAACAATCTTCAGGATCCCAAAGAGAACCATTTTGTAAAAAACTTAGTTGAAATTGCTTAAGGTAATTTATCTAGACATGTGAATAAGAAACAGCCAGTGACTAAAGATCTTTTAATTGAATTGTGTAGTAAATACAAAAGTACAACTGATGTTTTAATTTTAAGAGATTTTGTGCATGATTTTATTAGGATTTTCAGCGTTTCTCCGTTTTGATGAAATAAGAAATTTGCATTGTAATGATATTACGATCCATGACGATTATTTTTCTTTACATATGCGTTAAAGCAAAACCGACCAATACAGGCACGGAAGCGAC